ATATATCAAACATTGCAGTAAACTTAAACATAAATCAATCTAGTACATGAGCTAACCAAACACATGGAAGATTTCTAAGTAATTAAAGGAGTTTATTAATACTTTCACATCATGATAGATTTTGGGTACGTGCTTACAGACATCATGATAATTTCAGAGCTTTTTTTTGACTTTGACAAAACTTCTATGTTTTCAGAGTACTTTTCAAAGCATGCATCTGTTTCTCGTAGTTATATAGATATTAATTACAACATATGCATGCAATTATCCTATGTCAAATGACTAAACTAAGTTCGAATTACATTAAAAAATCACAACACAAAACACATATATATATATATGTCAAGTACAATTTGATTACATAAACAAATAATCTCTAAAGAAGGGCGGTACTAACATTTGGAAAATGTAACACCTTAATCCCAATATTTTTGGGGGTAATAACTTTTATAGGTACATATCTCAACTTCATTGTGGGGGGATGACTTGAATGAGTAAAAAGTAATTTAACTTCTGGTGCTATTGCAGAGGCTTATAAAACATATTCTAATATTAAAATCAGTGCAATATCTTCTACATTTATGCTTTACCTTTGAGCAATATTCTATTGAAATTATGAAAGACAGCAGTTTATTCAGAACTTCATGCTTCTACTAACTGTATCTTATTCATGGGCAAAGTATGGCAAAAGGAATCATTCCATTGTTGACTAAGATCTTACTTGTTTTTTTATCTTTATACCACAAACAATACGTCCACTAATAGTGGATATTTTGAATACCATGCATTTCTTTTGTACAGATTGCATGGATAGTTCTTTCTACTACAGAACACCAACTATTGCACTTTACAGGCATTTAATAGATTACTCTATCTATTAGAAAAATGATAAGATGGATATTGTGTTTCCTAAGTTAACTAAGTTTCCTTTCCTAATAATATACTACATACTCATGCATCTTAGGTCACTTTATCAGTTAGGAAATATTCCATGTTATTAAAGGTAACACATATTAATTGCAAAAGCTACTTTACGTAAAAACTACAAAAATAATGACAAACATTCAGTAAGTCATTCTTTCTTTCACTATATATAACACAAATTAATAAGTTAATCCACCTGTATTTGTGTTCCACACATGTACTGGACCATCCTCTCCACCAGAAAACACCAATCCACCACATGGTGACAGACAAGCTCTCAGCAAGTGATGAAAGTTGACAATGCCAGTAAAATGTTGAACAACTATATCTCTGTAAAGAATATGGTAATTACACATTTAAAAAATCATAATTCACAATAGTTTACATTCCAAAAAAATATATAATTACCTACTCTATATTATGTATAATTTATCTTTTTTGCCTGGCATAATGAGTGAATACAACTATGTTACACCATTACATTTTACCTGCAGCTTTACTACTTGCAGTAAAAAAATTGGAATTTACTTTGAATAAGAACATTGTTTCAACAATATGTCATTCAACTTACAACTTCAAGGTATAACACGTAAGATTCTAAACTTTAGTTCTCATTTCTTTTAGCACCATTCAAGGTTAAACTTAATAATGTCACATAAATCGTTTGTTGTATTTTTAGAGCAAAGCCACAATGGGTTATTTGCTGTGTCCACTGCAGGGGATCGAACCCTTGAATTTTGTGTTGCAAGTCCACAGACTTAGTGCTGTCCCATCAGAGGAGTTTGGAAATGCATTTATTCATTTAGATATACAGATCTTTAAAAACAATTATGTATATCATTATGGTACGAATTCCTTTTACAAGCTTGTGAAGTATGATTACAATTAATTATATCTCTTATAAGACTTTAGTATTATGTTTTAAATATTTTTTAACCCTGTAATCTTTATCTAGCCCTTTAGGGGTTTTCAAGAATAAGTGTGTACAATAATAGTATTCCAGCACGTGTTCACCATATCCATTACTGATGGCACGTTTCACTCAACCTAGGGCTCATCAAAGCACAGTGATGGTCGGAATAATGGCTATAAACCATTTGTTACAACAACAATTATTATGGTATGAATGTCTTTTTTATGCTGGGGAAGCATGATTATAATTAATTATACTTGTCATAAGACATTAGTATTAGGCCTATTATATTTCTTAGCACTGCATTCTTTAACTAGTCCCTTAAGGATTTTCAATTGTATAATAATAGTATTCCAACAACACTATATTCACTACATCAAGACCTAATGCCAATGTTATACGACAGATATAATTATGTATATTCTTTACTTTCTAAACATTTAAAGTCAATTTCAAAACTAAAAATTATAGTCTTCCTATAGAATAAAATAAAAAACAAAACTTTATTTGATTTATTTTGAAATATAAACCACTTTCAGTATACTTGCCACAAAGTCTTAAACAGTGACAGTAAATTAAATTTCGTCCAACAAGTCATCATTATCTATTATAAGAATAATTCTCTTTCCTTTCATCTAGCAATAAATAGTTAGATTTCTATTTTTATCTTCCTCTTCAAGACTACTTCAAATCAAGTTGCCAAAAAAAAACGAATGTTTTGTTTTATAACTTTTGTGAAAAGCTACACAAAATGTTGGCCATTCCTAATTTTGAGCTGATGGACTAGAGGGAAGGCTGTTAGTCAACAGCACCAACTGCCAACCCTTGGGTTACTCTTGTCTGACTGAGTAGTAAAAATTGTCTGTCAATGTTATAGCACATCCATGGTACACAAACCACGAGTCCTTGGATTCACACTTTTGATCATGCAAAACACTAGACAATGTATGTAAAAGAAAGAAGAGTCATAATAATACTTTAGCTGACTCTTTAAAGTGAAGACCCTATGGATCATGACAGTTTTGAATATTCTAATCCAATTTACTTGAATTTACTTTTAGGTAACATGTTAACCTTTAAAGACAGTGTAGGCTCTTCTACACATGTAACAACATTCTACATAGTTACTTTCCAGATTTAATAAAACATCTGTATTATTAATGTATGTTAATAAAATTAGCATCAGAATGTAGTTTATAATCCAAATTTTTATATCATATACGTTTTAATTTCGAAAGGAAATATTCAAAAGATTCTAAATCTTCACTTTTGTTGTCACATAGCATTAAAAGTAACTCTAAAATCCCAACTCATACATTATCTTATTTTATAAACAATCTATAAATAATTTAAGCTCGAGTGTACAGTTTGAATATTTTAATATTTTTGCTTACTGAGATATTAATAAATTTTCCAAACCCACAAAAGAAGCCCTGCCCATATAACCTTAACTTTCAAGGCAGTTTTCAAAATCACATTACCTTATCTGATGTACATGTTTATAATCAACAGAAAGAATTCATTGTAAATTACAAGCTTCCAATGGTCCTTTTGAAATTGGTGGCAATTTAAAGTAACAAGAAGCCTTAATTTTGTAACTTGGTAGTAAGAGAAGTCATGCTCATACTATTTAACAACTTAATTAGAAAAATTTAATTATAGTTGGTTTTGGATACTGTTTTAGTCAATTATGTATAATTTGTGTTTTAAAATGCATATTTGAAAGATGGATTTTTTTTTTCTTTCAGCCAATAAGTTAGACAAAATTTGAACAAAGCTTAACTCACTAGGGGACAAGTGCAAATTTTGTAAACAAAGTATGCGAGTGTATGAGGAAAATGGTAATGTGTTTGCATTGTGATTCACACATTTCATGCATAAGTAAACTGTACGCCATACAAACCAGGCAATAAAACTATAAAATTAAAAACTTTATGTGAAAAGGAAAACTTTAGAAATTGCGAATAACATAAAATCCTATTTTGAAACATTAATTATTGAAAGAAGAATAGAAAAAAATAAGATTTTATTTCATAGCTTTTAAAATTTCATTTCAGTTTCACTATGCATTGATGATTTAGCTACGATTGGTGTTAGGTAGAGAAAATAACAGACAAAATACAAACGTTTACCTTAAAAACTGCTGATAGTTCTAGGGATTAATCAAATTAAATATGAAAACTGTAAAATGAATTGAAGTATTTTTATTCTTGGCAGAGAAAAACTACCTTGCACTCAGACCAAAGTCCAAGTCAGACTGATTCTGGAAATCATTAAATGCACAGAAAAATTGTAGCAAAATACTTTAACAAAAAATTGGATTTTTTGTGCAACAGATTTTACTGCTTACTAAAAATTAAAACCTTGCTAAATTTCGTGAAGATTTGCCTAGTAAATTCATAATCATAGTGAACATTGCTATAATATAGTTTCAAAGGAACAAGGGTGCTTGTTTAGCACTGACACTATCTCAGTAGGGTTAACTTGAACTTCAAGTTGTTGTTTTTTCATATTGTTCTCATGTTTTAATGGTATTCTACTGGTGTAATTAAGTTTATTAAGTATTAAGTAGATTTTTTTCTTTACATAAGGTACTGTTTATTAAAACAATGCCTAAGAGTATGAAGTGTTTTAAAATGAGCATACTGTTGTATGAAGTGGCATTAAAAATGCAAAGCATTATTCCATCTCCATAGATAAGCCACTTGACTGTAGCAAACAATACCAATTTTCTTTCATTGTTAAATATATTAGTGAAAATGGAGAAATAACCAAATCTTCATTAGATATGGTAAAGTGCTCTAATACAAAGGTAGCAGAAATATTCAATCAACTGCAGAACCATTTTGAAAAGTACTACAGTCTTTCATTTGACAACCTGCAAAACCAAATATATGATAACTGTTTGATCATATCTAACCATTACACCTGACTACAGATACATGCGAATGATGTGGTTCCAAGGGCATATTATGTGCACTGGTTTGCACACCACCTTGGCCACCTTCTATGTAAATGATGTCGAGTTATAAGCTTGATCTATTCCAGAAGTTGTCTCGCTTGCATATGGTAAAGGAGAGGCTCACGGAGGTGTACCTAAACTTGAGCTCTCTTTATCACCTGAATTCAATGATGCTAATCACACCTTGTTGTTAAAATCGCTGAAGCTTGTAAAGAGAAAGCTTCATAGTTCCATTGCAGAGTAGCATTTCAACACTTGGTGTTGTCAGATCAACTGAAGTCAGTCAAGTTAGATTTTATATTCATGTTCATGTCTCAAATCACTTTGCTGTTGACCATCAAACAATATAGTTGTCCCTTATATAATGTTTTCAGTGAGCATGTTGTGTATGCATGTTATATGTTATGTACCATTACTATAAGTATTCTTTTGTGTATTATACATACAGATACAGATATGGAATGATATTTCAGACTGCACACTGTTGCTTGAATGTATTGTATGACATGCCACTTTATACACAAATGTGCCACTTTTACACATACACAGCTGTACATAATCTATGAAATGCATGTATTTAAACTAGTACACCAATATCAGCAACTAACATTATTGGACATTTGGGTGCCTGATGCTTATTTCCTTCTCCATTAAAAAAATGTAGAAAAAAAGATTATTTGAGAACTATGTAACTTATGATCTTACTTTTTTTTACATTAATGTCTTATCTTTGAGCACACAAACGTTGAATATTAAGATGTTCAAAAACTATGAAAAAGCACATTTAATAATTATTACTGGACAAATTATTAATAATGACTACAATACAGTATGTCTCAAAAAATATAAACAAATTACATATATCTAATCAAAAGACTTTCACAACACTTTTTAAAATATATAAACAATACCTACTTTTTCATTAGACCATAAAACAAATTATTTTGTAATGAAATTAACAACAGAAAAGTACTATTTTTGTGGTTTAGTGAATTTAATATTTTTTGTTGTTAAGGTTATTTTGACTGGTGCTGCTGCTTTAATTTGTTTAATTTACCAAATTTTTAATTAACCTTTTACGTACTTTTACATCATAAATTGAAACTTCACATAAATTAAAAGTATAATAAATGTCAAGAAAATAAATTCCAAACATACACATTCATGTCTATTAACCTCAGACTTCCATCTCTACAGCTTACTAATAACTTTCTTCTGGAAGGGTGTAAAGAAAGAGAATTTAAAGGGACACCCTAAAGAAAAAAAACAACATAAAGTACTGCAACACAGGTGAAACTATAGCACAGGTATAAAACTACTGAATTATGCTCATTTAACATTAATCAAACACCAATATTCAAAATAAGATTAAAATAACAGATAATCTAATTTAACAGAAAATTACAAAACCGTTACACATAAAATTACACTTTATCTTCTGGTACGAACTGGTCTGTATAGTGTAAAAATATATTCCAACTGGTTCTTCTTGTTGTTTTTTTTTGTTGTTAACAAATGACAATAGAACACTCTCCTTACTTCTGAAGTATAATGAGCAGAAAGCTTGAATGAACTGTATATTTTCTATGGTAAAGTACACACACAACAATTAACCTACTTTCTAACAAATCTGGATGTCACCTACTGACAGCGATGTTTATTGCATTCTTTATGTGTTATTCAACCAATGGGATTAATTAGGAAAAATATACATAGAATGTCAAACTAAAATGTAATTTCTTATTTAATCTTGAACTACTGACCAGAGGGAAGGCAGCCAGTCACCAGCACCCCACTACCCATGCTAAGGAATGGACTGCCACTCTTATAATGCACCAAAAACTTTAAAAGTGTAGGGAGTATTTTGTGGTATTGCAAGGATCTTAACCTGGCTAGTCAGCTCCAAAATCCAAAGCTGTCTCTCACTTATGCTCCCGCTGAACAAGTGAATACTTGGGGGGTTTGTTTATTGAATTTTGTGCAACACTAGTTGAAGGATATCTATGCTAGATGTCCATAACTTTGAAGTGATAGACTAGAGGAAAGGCAGATAGTCAACAACAACCACTGTCAACTCTTAAGTTATTCTTTTTCAGACCAAATAGTGTTTTTACTGTCACTCTTATAACACATCCATGGCTCCTAAGTGCCAAGCTCAATTTTTTATTTTTTGGTGGTATAACAGGGCACAAACCTCAAATCCACAGTTTGGTATGCTAACCACTGGGCCATTCTCAGCCCAAAATAATCAGGAAGAATAAGAAAAATTATTATGCATAAGTTAATCCTCTCGCTATGGGTAGATAAAAGTGCATGTCACGACTTTTTATTTAGTTACATTCAAAATTTAATTATACTATTTTATTATCAAAGTATAAGAATAAACTTGGCATCAGCAGCTACAGGAATTATTTCAAGGTTCTTATGCCTTAGTTAGAAAGCCAGTAAATTATAATAGATATAGGGCATTGTTTGCTTTGTGTGTGTTACTATTCTGTGTTCTTGGGTGCTTTCTTTAAATAAATGAAAATCATTGAATGTACTAGCACTATCATTACAAAAAAAAGTAGGCTTAAATTTCATAGCCAACAACAACAAAAAATGTCAAGTGTAAGTACTAAATTTCTTGTTTTTATTGTATATTTTTTATTTATTGTTAAAAAATAACTAAAATGTAAAAATTAGAAAATTATTACGTATGCTCATGAGTAGCTCATGCATTACATTATTCAATATGGTAATGTCAGTTATGTGTTCACTAAGTGATTTATAACTTGTGTGGCAGGATTATTAGACAGTTCAAAGGGCAACAAAACAATAAAATTAAGTACAAACAGTTGCACACTGTTACGAGCTTTAAGCTATTTAGGATAAACAATCATAGTATTTTGTTATAATCTGCAGTTACTCTAGAAAGGAAAAGATACTCAGATTTTAATTGCATTTTTTTTATGGTGGTTACAAGGTAGATCAAACTGACCAAGTCTGTATAGCATTAAGGAAGAGAAAACAACTGATAAGATATAAAGTTTGAATGAAAAAAAGAAATTTGATATTTATTTAGGAAGCTTTAGAGGCTACACAAATGAAATTTGAGAATTTTCAGATGAAGAAAAATATTCTTAACTTAACATGAAAATCACTTTGTGCTTGGAGCAGTCAACATTTTTGCTCCATATATTCATGGACAAATCTTTAGTAAATATACCTAATTAAAAATTCTGATTTTTTGTGTACAAAAGACTTGTAATGTTTAGTGAAAGCTTGCCAAATTTTGTGAAAATACAAATACCAAATTAAAAGTTATAGTATAGAAACTGTTACGATTACTTAGTACTTACAAGGTCAGTGGAATGCACCAACCCTGTATAGAAAGAGTTAATATGACAATTATATGTGTTTATTTTTGATATTATGATTGACATGTTTACAGTGAAATGGTTTTACAATTATTTTTGAGTATCTACTTTTAAGATGTATAACGTTTTGCATATATAATTATTGATATAATGTGACTTAGCAAAAAATTAAGATACAAGCATGTTTCTAATTATTTCTAAAATTAGTAAACTATAAAAAAATCAGTATATTAATTCAAAACTTATATTTTTAAATACAAGCCCAACTTACTCTTAAAAACTACACCCAAAAGGTTATATACACAGAAAACTGCAAATAATCAACAGACACAAGTGGGAGGGTGGGGGGTTCCT